GCAACGTTGCTTTGCCTTTCTTCCCTCATAGTTGTTCAGAGAAGGGCTGCTGAGAAAAATGGAAGGCTTTTTTCCTTTGTGTCATGGCTTGTTCTTACTTGTTACTTTGGCGTTTGAGTTCATGAGAGGAGTTCATCCCTGGCTTTCTGTTGGTGCCAAATGGCTTTCCAGGTTTATGAAATCTCTTGAGAATCCTCCACCACATATTTCTGCCTTCACCACTTGCAGGAGAAAGGTGAAAATACTTCTGGGACCTCAAATCAAACAGTTTTGCAGGATACTTATTATTATAATCCTATTTTGTAAGCAAGCAATTCTGTAAAATTTCAGAAAACTGGAGAACGATCCCAAAATTACATAAAGATGGACAAAAATAATTGGGAGCATATTTGGCATACTATTTAATTTTCAGATTTGTTTGAAGATCGTTTCTGGTTCATGTATTGTCCACAGCAACTCCTCATCATCTTTTGATTCCATCTCAGTGAAAACAAGTATTTTTTTTCTGACTTTCCAGAAAATTGTTGGGTTTTTTTTCCCTTTACCAGAAGGTAAATGTGGGGCAATAAATTTAAAGTTGTGAAAAGTGTTTATGTGTATAGGAGGAAAAGGAGGCAGGTTAGGGCTCTTTAAAGAGCAAATTTAGTGAGGTGCAGCTTGATCAGCCTTGACAGCCCTGGAAATGGATGTCTTCTATCTTTCATTAGCAGTATACACAACAGTGTAAGTTTTATAACCTTCACCCCGCCCTCTTTTTTTTTTGGAGGGACCACCTATAAAGCTGTGATGTTTGTCCAGTTTCCATGCTTTTTTGGTCTTTGGCCTGTCTGAGGCTGCCAACAAAAGTGTTAATTGCTGTGGTTTTGGTAATGTGGACACCTGTCCAGGACAAAACGAACTGAGATCAGTGATTAATTTCAAATTTATTGAAGATGTAGGTTCCTCCTTCTGTCAACAATTTATTTTTCCCTTCATAGTCTGTGCAATCTTATTGACTTCAGCAAGGTTTCCTGGATGTTACCAAGATGGGTTCTTGTCAGTAGCTGGAATAAAATCATAGATTCTGGAATTTGCATTGAGAATAAAATACCCTCAGGACAGATACGCAGTTTTAATTTCAGCTTTTAATAGTAACCTCAGAGGATCATTAAGGAATAACCAAAGTCTAAAAAGTTTTTGCTTCTTCAGCACGTACCTGCTTGTCTCCTTTCTTCACAATTTTTTACCTGCCCCAGTGATTCTAATATGCAGTTTCTGTGGAAATGATTCTTCCACTGCCATCGGTGTTGTCTGTTAGGACCAACATTGAATGAACTGCTACTGAGTGGTAGAAGCATGCTTTTGATGCAGTTGGGTGGCACATTTGTTTTCATTTGAATTGTTATGGGTATCTTCTCTTGTCAAAGGGTACAACATTGTCAACAAAATCACATAAGCTATGCTTTCAGGTTGTGTTTCTTCCTCTAAGACTGTGAACATACATATTTCTGAGGTGAACCTTAGTGGAGCTCAGCTATTTTAATCTGCATATAAGGATGTGGAACTGTTTGCTTCAGAAATGCTCTGTCAGTTCAAGCTTTGGTACTAGCTTTCTGCCTAATTACAGAAAGAAGCGCTCATGACTTCACAGTCTACTGCAAAGCTCCAGTGCTATTCTTCCAGCATGCCTATTAGGCCTATCTAGACAGTATTCTGCTTCCTTTGGTGGAAATTAGAGATTCTTAGTAAGAGATTCAAAAACATATGCCACTGAGACATATTACCGGGAATCTGGTAAAAAAGTAGACAATCTAATAAGTGAGAGAGCATTTTGTAAGATTCCTGAAATGCAAGAATTGTTTTCCTTTGAAGATTTTTCTTGAATTGTGCTTTGACTGTTAGGCTTGAATAGTTTAGATTTCAGAGCACAAATTTGAAAGTGTTACTTGAAGTTCTAGATAATACATTTATTTAAAAAGTCAAACTTATGGAGCTGATTTGTGGTATATTTTCTTGTGCTTCTGCCTTGAAACTGTGCTGTAAACTTTCTAGCTTTCTATTAATTCTTTGATTATAGTGAGACTGAAACTGCCATGAAAACAGAGGAAGACTGCACGTATTTTCTTGGTTCTCATTCCAGGCAAAACAAGGAGGTAGAAGTGAATACAGAAATGTTAACCTAACTTTGTTAAATATCAAAATTGATATGAAGTCTTGCATATTAGTGTAGAGTTTTTCTTATCTGTTTTTAGCTTTGAAATATTTTGGTCTCTTTTCAACCATTCAGAATGTCAGTTTTAAAGGCATGTTGGTATTGTTATTGAGGGAAAATTGTGATTTAAGTGTGTTCACTCCTTGGGTGCTTTAGAATTCCCCAGGTGGAGATTGCAAGCATGTTTAAATTAAAATACAAATATTCTCCAAAGCTGTAATTTATGTAATAGGTGCTTGGTGGCTCTGAGTTACTGGCTACAGTTTGAGTTGGAACAAAGCCTAGAAGCTGTATTTTGATTGTGCTTGCATATTGCAATGGTGGAGGAAAACAAGGAAGGAAGGAACAAAGATCTGAGCAAATCTGTCGATGTTGTGATTTTTATTAATCTGCTTTCTTTAGAAGTATCTCAAAGTATACTGATCCTTGGTTATGTACAAGTGCTTTACAATATAGTGCTATAGAGCAAAGCAGTATTAAAATAGAGATGATTTATTTTACACACTGTATGTATGCTGCTCACCTCGGTCAGCATGATCCTCAGTGGAGCAGTCCAGTGCAGTGAACAGGGTGGGTCACGAACTGTAGGAACCTCAGGGGGAGCTGCCAGCAGCCTGCTGCTTGTGCCACAGAGGTGATGGGACTCAGGTGGGGATGAGGGCTGCCCCCTCAAAAAAAACCCAAGGGAGCCCTAGTGACCAGGGCAAGCAAACAGGGCGTATTTGTTTGCAGAAAAGTTGCTGTAGCCCTGCTGGTTTGACTGGGGAGCAATGGTATCCACCTGGTAGAAGTCTGTGTCCTCTCTAAGCTCTACACACACAATGACCAATGCAGCTTCCCAGACAGAGCTCTGGTGGGAACATGCAGGTTATCCAGGTGCCAGGCTGCAGGGTGTGCCCAACATGCAGACCAGACCCACTTCTTAGGGACAGCTGCTGCCTCCCTTGAGGCATGGGTACATGGTGTGAAGAGAAAGCTTTCTACCTTGGTATAGCCTTCAGATTATTATGTGTTAATTGATTTTTCATGTAGGCAGCAATGAAGTTGCAATATGAAGTCCAAGGGCAATCAAGAGAGACTTCATGGCTTTGGGATAATTGATTAAGGGATCAGGAGCACAAGTAATGTTCTCGTCTATCCCTCCACTTGCAGGGAGTGGCGAGGGAAGAAACAGGAAGACCCAGCAGATCAAGACAGAGAGGGACTTGTGGGTGAAGTGGTGATTGGTGGCTGTCTTGGTCACAGAGACCACAAAGTAGTTGAGTTTCAAAAGCTGGTGATATGAGGAAAAACTGCCAACAAAACTTCAATCTTGGATATGGAGAAAGCATATATCGATATGGAGAAAGCATATGGCTGAAGGAGCTAGTTAGTAAGCTACCCTGAGAATCTGTTTTTGAAGGTATTGGAGTCCATGAATGCTGGTCACTTTTTAAGAGCCGTGTCTTAAGAACACAGGAGCAGACAATTCCAAAGTGTTGGAAATCAAGCAAGTGGGGCAGAAGGGTGGTTTGGCTGAACAAGGATCTTCTTCTAGAACTTAGGCAAAAAAGGAAATCGGTATGGGCACTGGAACCAAGGACAGGTGACACAGGAGGACTACAGAGATGCTGTTTGCCACTGTAGGGTGAAAATTTGTGTGGCCAAAGCTCGATTCAAGCCAGCCAGCACTGTGAAGAACAGCAAGGAGGGATTTTTAAAGTAAGTTAGTAACAAAGGCAGAATCAGAGGTAGCATTGGGCTGTTGCTTGGTGAGGTTGGTCACCTCACAAATAGGGACATAGACAAAGCAGAGATATTTAATGCCTTCTTCACCTCTCTTCAACACCAATGATGGGCCCTGGGAACCCCAGAGCCCTGTGTTGGAAGACCATGACTGGGGGGATGATAAACTCCCAGGGCAACCCTGAACGTGTTTGACTTGCTGCTCCAGCTGGATGCACATGAATCCATGGGGCCCAATGGGATTCCCTCCAGGGTACTGAATTTGCTGGTCAACGTCATTGTGGGTTTGTTCAGCTTAGAGAGGAGAAGGCTGAGTGCGACCTCACTGCAGTCTACAACTTCCTCAAGAGTGGCAGCACAGGGGGAAGTGCTGTTCTCTATAGTGAGCTGTGACAGGACATAAGGAAATGGAATGAAGCTGTGTCAGGGGAAGTACAGACTGGCCATTAGAAAAAGGTTCTTCACTGGGAGGGTGGTTGGTCACTGAAACAGGCTCCCCAGGGAGCAGGAAGCCTAATAGAGCTCAAGGAGTGTCTGGACAATGCTCTTCATCATAGGGTTTATTTTTAGGTAGTTCTGTGAGGAGCAGAGAGTTGGACTTGATGATCCTTGTGTGTCCCTTCCAAGTTGAGATATTCCATGGTTCTATTTTGAATACATAAAATTTAACATTAGAGCTTCTGATTTTATGTTTATAAATAGTGTTTCATAATCTAGAAATGTTTCATACAGTTGTTAGTTTTAGGAAGGCTGTGCTTATAGCCTCCCTCTATTCCTTATTTAAAAAAATAAAGTAAGTTTTGGAAAGAAACAGAAGAAAAAGTATATTGTGTTTTTCCCTAGGATATACTGATCGAATGGAGCTTAAACCATCCTTTTATTCATGCACATCACATTCAGGAACAGATTTTATATACTGGCTGACATACGCATGTAAAAAGTGAACAGATTAGGCACATTCCTTTTTATTGTGTCTTTCATTTCAACAAGCTTATTTGTACGAGTTAGGAATAAATTAGATGTGCAAACTAAAGTCTGTCTTCTAGTGAAAAAAACTGACATTTTGTTCTTTCAATTCTGATAGGAAATAGTTCTGGTTGTGTTTTTTGGTGCTGAATATGTGGTCCGATTGTGGTCTGCAGGCTGCAGGAGTAAGTATGTTGGCTTCCAGGGAAGAATACGCTTTGCGAGAAAGCCAATATCAATTATCGGTAAGATTTAAACTCTTTTTTAAAATAACTTTGCTAGTGCAATCCATTTTAAAGTAAAGTTGTCGATTACTACAGAGACTATACAGCAATTCTGAGCCATGTCTCAGGCATTTATCTGCTTTGTGAACCTATGCAATTATTTCTTCTTTTCGGTTGCTAGAATAGAATATCTAAAATATGGCTGTAACGTAGGCAGCCATCAGCTTAAGAAAGGCAAAATTATCAGGGGAGAAATCTTTACTAAATCTACTTTTGTGATTGGAGAAAATTGACAAGATTTTGAATGTAATATCCTTCCTTTGGTCTCTTGAAGAAAGCAAACACAAAGGTGAGTATAAATGGGGAAAAAACATGCACAAAATGTGCAAAGTATGACTCAGGAAAAATTCCCCTGGGTAGTACTAAAGTTAAGTCATTTTAGGTGGTTTAAAGGACTATTGTGGATAGCATCACTGGAGTAGGAGTTCAGGGGGAGAGGTAACTAACAGAGCCTGTGGAACAGTGAGGGATTAATAAAAGGTGACTTTCAGATAGAATTGTAGTAAACCATAAAATCATTGTTTCTGTTTTAAGTCTGTGATTTTATATACACTCCAGTAGAGCTGTGAATTTTACGTTACTCAAACGTCAACTCATTGAGTTTTAAACACAAAGTGGGAGAGGTGAAAAGGGGAGAGAAAGAACTGATGTTTTCTTAACCATCTGTGACTTTATGAAACTTGGTGCAAAAACTCATGAAACAACATATTCTATCATACATCTAGATGTGGGGAGTGAATAATGTGATGAGATATTGTACTGAGTTTTGGGTTATTAAGAAGTATTTCATCACATACAAACAAATTCTTCAGCTTCTTCTAGAGCTGATTTCATGATTAGTTTCACGATCTAACCATGAAGCCTAAAAGTAACTTTTATTTTCTCCTAATCATGTTCTTGACTTCTCTTTCAGTAACAAATGCCTTAGGAAGGTATATTAGAGTACAGGTGCAGGAGGAAATGTGGCAGTCCCGTTAAACTGTGTTTTCAACTTCGTACTAGTTCTGTATACTGATATTGTGCATCTACTACAGTAAACATTAATGTCTGTAGAGCTGTTTGAGAAGACACAGTGTTTTTTTAAGAAAAGCTAAGAATGACTACAGCTGGTTGTGCATTCAAAAGTATCAGTACTGTTTTAAAATTTAAAATTCCCCTAAGAATACAATACATTTAAAGTCAAGATTTGTTTTGACATATCAAGTGCAAATGGAACTGTGTCTACGCTCATCCAAATAACTAAACTTGGGAAATACATTTGCTGTGAATGACAGAATCAAACTGACTAATCCTATCATTTTCAAATCAAAGAGAATAAAATACAAACACTAGAAAAAGGAATTAAAGGACTAGAACAGCATTTAAAAAATAAGATATTCATCTTACTTTGCAAAAGTGTCCATTATAAAATCAGAAAATATCATTGAAATGTCTTGATACCAGAAAGATTTTTGAATGGGATGTTGCCCACACTAAAATTTTGACTTATTCTTAGAAAGTTCAACCTGGGTAGCAGTTTTGAACGTCTTTAATTTCTCCCATTATCTTTCCTTTTCCCTCCTCTCTAATTGTAAACATAAAAAATAGTATGTTAACCTGCAGCTTCTATAACTGCAGAAGGAAAGTGTTAAGATAGGACACACTATCTCTTGAATATTCTTTAAAAAAATCACCTAAAATGGAAAATGATGCAACTTCTCTACCTTGTAAATAAAAATTTTTCATTTTTTAGGTACATTCTCTAAAGTTATCCTAATTTATCTCCTCTTTGCAGACAGATTACAGGTAATTACATCTAAGTAAGAAAAGACAATTCTGTAATAAAGAATTGATCAGGAGACATAGATTGAATTCATTCCCAGCATACCAAGAAACCTTAGAAAAATCACTTTGTCTCTCCATGCTTCTTCATTCCCTAGTTCACAGAATAAACATGTTTAAAGAGTGTGTGGTAGTCATGTACTATGGCAGCAGCAGTAACAGTGACACCTTTCCTAAATATTGATTTAACACTTCCATTACTTAGTATTTCAGTAGGGTTAGATTTGGAACTAAATGCTTCTGAAAATCCCAGCCTAATTAGAATTTTTATGAAAGGCAGGTACCAGGCACAGACAAAATGAAGAGAATGTCTTTTCACAACCTCTTTTTCCTTTTGCTGTTGCAGAAAATGTCACAAAGAACCAATTTATGAATTAACTTTTGTTTCTCCTGGTTTTGACAGCATGCAGTTTGAAAGACAGAAGGGGGATCACATGGTGGTAGATGTGCCATCCCTAGAGACCTTCAAGGCCGGACTGCATGTAGTTCTGGGCAACCTGATCTAGTTGAAGATGCCCCTGCTCATGGCAGGGAGTTGGACTAGATGACATTTGAAGGTCCCTTCCAACACAGACTATTCTATGATTCTATGATTTTAAGTTATGAAGTGCCAGTAGGACACAAAATTTCATCAAAAAAGAATGTGCTGTAAACCAAATTCAAATATGTCCATATAATCTATTATTTAAGTCTTTGTGGACATCACATTATCTCCAGACTACTGAGAACATAGCTGCAAGCTGAGGGCTGTTTAGATTCTGCAAAATACGAGGGCAACTAAAAATTAAAATACAAATGTAAACATTTTTACTGGTTTAAATTTAAAAAAGGAGTAATTGCTTTTAATCCAAAAGCTGAGAATCACATACTAGATAGTAAATTTGTAAGAACATTGGAAACAAGTCAGCAATTTACTCAAAAAAAGCAGTACACAGGTAAGCTGCATAGTATGTGTTGCTATGTGCTATGCTGAAGCTTATGCATAACTGAATAATTTTTCACTGCCAAGCTGATTTTTGAGATAAAAATGGCAGCTGTTTGGAATCTCCCAAGGACTCATAGCTTCTCAAGGTTCTCAAATCTGTGTACCACACATGCTAAGTTGCAGGGAATGTGATTTATGGAGGTCTGTCATCTACATATGTAATGCACGTATTATATAGAAGACACCACGTCATTTTTGTCTCACCACACCTCATGTGTATGTACAGACATGTTTGCAAACATGTAAGTAGGCAGAAGGTTTGAGAAGAATATCCACATATTGCTGTTTTTAAATTACTGCAATTCAATTTTTAAAATTACCAAGGCTTCCTGACACTTACTTTTTTAAAAACTAACATAAATACTAATGTAACGCTAATCTAAATACTAACGCTTGTTAAAGCTGGAAAAGTTGTTTAAACAAATGTTGGCTGTTTATCCTGATAATTTCCATGCCAAGCATCTCCTTCAGTTTGAATCTTACGGAGACATTTCACGCAAAGAGTTTAAGCTGTTCCTGAAAATGCAATTCTGATGATTTCTTATGGAGAAGCACTAGCACTTCCACACTTTGAAGGAAATACTTGAAACTTAGAGAGAAAACAGCTTTTTGATTGTCACTGAAAATCAACTCCAAGCTGACTGACTAACAAGCCTCTGAAAAATCGGTAGCTTGTTTATTTAAAATGTCCTGCTAAAGATAGCTCTTATATTCTTCAAATTTTCAATCTGCAGTGAGCCTGCACAATTCAAATTTCAGGTTTATCTGAGCAGCAGTGCTTGGGTTGGAAGTGGAAAATCTGCTGGGTTTGGTTTTATAGTGCTCTCCCTGAAACTGCCCAGGGCACACAGATAGAGAAAATAGCAGGCTCGATTGCTGAGGTGAAGTGGTGGGGTAGGAGGAAATGACCAGGACATACAGGCTCAGTGAAATGACATGAGGTAAGGGTCTGGAAGAAGGACATATAAGGAGACTGACAAGCAAGCAGGTGGCTGAAGGAAAAAAAAAAGTAGAGGCTGAAAATACATGGGATTGAAAGGTAAAGGCAGAAAGATATGCCTAAGACCTAGAGTGTAAAATAGTACTGTTTGAACCAGTAAACTGGGATTAGTATGAGAAGCCTAAAGATTGGAAACTGGCATGAAAACTAGGAACAGAAAAGAAGCAAATAGAAGAACAGGTTGGGGAGGAGGAAAATTGAATATCTCTGCCATGTAGAACACACTTTCAGACAAGCAGAAAGTACAAATGAAAAATCTATGTTACTGTCACTACCTGATTAAAACTATCTTAAGTGTCAGTCTTTTCCTTCTCCAGTGCTGGACATCAGATGGATATGTATATGTCTGATAATTTAGTAAGGATATCAGCTGCATCATTTGCTTAAGGGCAAAGATCTGTATTATATTGCGCTGGGAAGAAAACCCTTCCTAAATTCTGAGTGTTTACAAATGTATGTTCACATACATTAAAGGAACAGCATAAAGAATTTGGAATGTCATGTACTCAAAAGTTAAGAGTTTCCCAAAATGGAAGCTTTTTCTGTAGCTTTAACTTATTCCTCTCTATATTTATTTACATTTTTATATAACTACGATTATTGTAGTACAGACTTTACACTGAACGAGTGCTATACAATGGGGAGGAATCCTGCTTTTACAGCAAAAATCAGACTGACACTGGAAATTAATCCAAGTTCGAAAGTGAAGGATACTGTTGTAGAACTGCTGCAATACTTGCAGCAACAACATGGTTTGAATAAGACAGGAGAATGTTTAAAGGAGAGGAAAAAAGTTACCCTTGTTGAAAGCAACTTTTGTTGCCTCTGAAGTTGGATTCTATCCTGCGTCTCACCTAGGCATCACACAGAATCTATGTGGCAGTAATTTAAATCAGTTTTCACAAGTGTGCCTCGTTTTCTGGATGTCCAAATGAAGACTTTGAAGTCAGGTTACAGAGGTTCTGAGCTCTCACAGCTGCAAAAGTGAAGTCAGCAGGCACTGTTTTTTTTGAAGTGCAGTATAACATTTAGTGCTGTGAAGAATAAAGTACTGCCTGTTTAAAACTGGCAAGGAAAATTTACCAAAACTTGCCCTCATTCTGTCTATATCCACTACTCACTTATAATACTATCCTTTATTTTCTGGTTAGAATTTGAAAGTGAAGCATTCAGGTGCCCTAAACAGGATTACCACAGAAATGCCAATGAAGAAATTAGAAAAATGCCTTCTCAGAATACTGTGAAGAGTAGAGTTCAGTAATTAAAAGCAATAGACCTGTTCACTGAACTAAGATAAGAGAAAATAAGGGACGCTGGCATTGTGAACACAATCTGTCATTTGCATTATACAATGCTGGAACTCTGTAAAATGTGGAGTTGTGGAAAAAAAATTGAACTCTGGAAACAATTATTTTTTCATACAATTAAACTGTATCACAAAGTAAACCAAAACCTCTGATTTTTTTTAGGCAGCATTTGTTCTGACAGTTCCTGAACTTTGAAAGCTTGTCTTTACAGCTTTGATACAATTTTTTAACTAAGTGTATGTATGTGTATATGCCTATGATACTTGGCTTTATGCATTTCATTATTGATCGAAGAAAACCCTTACTTTCCATCTTAAAAAAAGCCTTCAGCCAAAATGTGGATTCATTTCTAGGGTGTACGTATGTCTTTGCCTTTGCTGGTTTTATGGCAAGCTGCCTTATCTGTCAGGATCTTTAAAATTTCCATTATTAAATTCATCATGGAAGAAACTGTATTGATTGTTTTTTGATGTGAAACTATTACATTCACTTACTCCCCACCAAATTTTAGCTAACAAGTTCTTTTTTTAAAGTGCTTTCCTCAGTCTGTATTTGTTGTGTGTTTTGGTACTGAGAGCTAAATTTGGTACATTCTTTCTTTCCTTTTTTCTTTCTTCTTTTTTTTTTTTTTTTTTTTTTTTTTTTTTTTTTTTTTTTTAAACAGATCTCATTGTGGTAGTAGCCTCAATTATTGTTCTGAGCATAGGATCTAACGGACAGGTGTTTGCCACCTCTGCAATACGGTATGTTTTTCTAGTGACTGTAGCTCTTCACAACCACAGATCTTGTTAGGTGTATATCTAATTTCCCAGTTTCTGAATTGGATGTATAAGTAATTTTCCCGATATAGGAAAAGTTACTGTATTGAAACATTGGACAGGAGAAGACTGTGTGTTACTGTGCTTGGTCACTTCTTGGAAACAACAGGGTGGAAACAAGGCATATCAAAAATAGTGGGAATACTGAAGCCAAAAGTAAAAACCTAAACTTTATGTTCTATATAAAACATCAAACAGCTCTCTTTCTGAGACAAAAGAGTATTACAGAACATCCGTTTATTTAAGAAGTAATCCAGACAGCACTTAACTCTGTACTTTTTGAGTATGAGTAATGGCTTTGTTTAAAGAGTAATTATGCTTTGGTGGATTTGTTTGGCATGAGTAACTCATACCATACATGAACCAGAAACATTTGATGTCTACAGTGTTTGTTCAGCTTGCATCAAGTACTGCAAGCTTGTTTTGGGAAGTAGAGTGGGTAAATAGAAGAAAGGAATGATAAGCAGAGTAGGTGTACTTCCCCCTTCTTCTAACTTAACTTGCAAGATGTGCTACATGTTTTGTTACAAGCCTCTGATTCCCAATACAGTCTAATCACTGGGAAGTGAGAATATACAGTACTGTCTAAACTGTGTAGCTGTGTAGACAAACACTGGAGAGAGCTACATGTGTAAAGTAATTTTAAGGTAACTGTTACCATACAACATTAATCCTTACATTATGAAAAAGACTTATGCAGGCAGCATGAATGTGATTTATTAGCTCATATAAAAGAAAAGGAGGGTAAATATGAAAATCCCAAAGATTTTATTTAATTTAACTAGAAGTGTGGGAAGGACTTTAATGAAAAAGCCCGCTGTGGCTTATATACAGGGGAGCTGCACATAGGTCTCCCCGCTCCTTACATAAGCAACCAGTAAGCTATTGCATCACCTAAATGTATTGGTGCTCACTTATATTGGTTACATTAGATTACAAGACAACCTATACTTCATTGTCTCGTAATTCTTCTTGGACTCTTCTTCTTATTAATAGGTTTTAAGTGGATATTTTGAAGTTTCCAGCTAGACAAAACTATTACTCGAATGGCATATCAAACAAATAACAAAACATGGTGTTGCTATACCTAGTCACTGATATATGATTTGATAATCAGGATTATTGCGTACTTTACAAAAAAATGATCCTTTGACTGTCAGCTGTGAAAACTCAGAAATCCTGCTTTCTAAATAAAGGAAAAATTGGGTCTTCCAGAAGACAGTATGCCTTCCCAGTATGAGTAACACCAGAGACTGAAGGATGGCACCATGCTGAGTTTCCAGTGTGACCCAGAAAAATGCATCCACAGTGGAACTGGAATAAGAAGATTGAATTAAAAAACAACACTACTAACAACAACAAAATTTCAAGGCTAAAAAGAGCTAAAAATACTTTCAGTGAAAAATTTTCAGATAGATGAATTCAATATTCATCCTTTTCTTCTCTTCACTGTTTTGTGTCAGTAATAAGATAGTAAGATGAGTGTAGGCAAACGAAGTTCATTATTGAACTTTGGACTAGAATTTATTGGACTAGAATGAAATATTTCCATGGAATAAAATTCTGCTGAAGAACTATATAGATAATTATTTTTCTTTAGTTGAAAATATTTGGAGTTTATGATTCAGTTATTGTCCTAAAATCACATATAACTCTATTTCCAATTAGATGGTTTCTATAACTTATACAGAAAGGACTTCAGTAATACTATGTTTGATTCACATCCTTCTTTTGGCAAATAGAGAAAAAAATCTGCTTATATTTATGTTAGCAAAGCTTGAAGCACCACTTTTGCTAGGAAAATAAGGCATTTGAGAATTACCTTTCCTATGAAGAACGCGAGACAGTTGGGGTTGGTCAGCCTGGAAGAGAGAAGCCTCTGGGAAGATCTTAGAGCAGCCTTCCAATACCTAAAGGGGAATTCAAGGGAGAGGGACTTCTTACAAAGGTATGCAGGGACAGGACAAGGAGTCATGGCTTTAAACTGAAAAAGGGGAGATTTAGATTAGACATAAGGAAAAAATTCTTCACTGTGAGGGTGGTGAGACACTGGCACAGGTTGCCCAGAGAAGCTGTGGCTGCCCCATGCCTGGCAGTGTTCAAGGCCAGGTTAGCCAGGGCCTTGAGCAACCTGGTCTTGTTGAAGGTGTTCCTGCCTGTGGCAGGGGGGTTGGAATTACGATTCTATCCTAATTAAGTAAAATATGCAAGTTTCCTCTGAGTTAGAAAATATATAGTTTAGATTATTTTTTTTTAATTGATTGTTGTTCCAGTCAATATTTCTGAATATATTTGAATATAATGAAATGTAATGAAACATGTTATATACTGAGATACTTCAAATTTAAGATGCAACCCTAGCCAGGGACAGTGCTATCACATTTCTCTAATATGGCAGTATGTTAGTGTACATAGTCAGATATGTATAGAAATAGCAGTGTTATTCTCAATCACTGGTTTTATTTCATGTCTTATTCTTCTTACAGGGGGATCCGGTTTCTCCAGATACTTCGCATGCTTCATGTAGATCGACAGGGTGGCACATGGCGACTATTAGGATCAGTTGTTTTCATACATCGTCAGGTACTACATCTTTAAAGACCCCTAGGATTTTGTTTACTTTAGTATATACCTTTCATGGACTTCCAATCATAGCCTAGTTAAAGGAACAGTTACTGTTGCAAGAGAAAAAATACTTTGTAGGTCCATCACACCTTTCTTTCTACTTTTAAAATAGGAACGCTATTCTTTAGTTCAGGTCAGTGGCTAACAGGGTACCCGTACCAGGGTTTTTTTTCTTTTTTTAAATTAACTTTTTGTTGTTGTCCTTCAAGATAATTTATTAAATGCAGTTATGTGGACTGCCTTTCATATTGCAAATACTGTTCACTGTCTTCACAGAAGATGTGTTCCTAGCTTCGTTGTTCTGTGGAAAAAACAAATACTAGTTGAAAAGCCTTGATAGAACAAATCAATTATTTAAATAGTTCTGTTTTCACTGCCTGAATAAAGAGGTTTCCAATCCTTTCTATAAATAAAATTACTAACTAGGCTATGTGACTATGCTAGAAAAGTTAGTTTTTCAAGGGTGTATTCACAGAGGTAAATTTGGCTGTAAATTGTTATAAATCCATTGAAGCTTTGAAACAGTTATTCTGCATAAAAGTTCATTAAGCAGGAAAAGCTTAAATGTTTTAGTGTAGACTTTTAAAAATTTCTAGTTGAAAGCTTCTTTTTGGGGCTTCATGGAATCTCTTGATGAAAAGCTGACTTACCTTTATGAATATCATAATAAACTTTTATAATTAGTCTCTAAATCCTGCACATCATACTATGCTGTGGAGGGCTAATACTGTGCTACGAATCTTTATGTCAGACTTTTAAGGGGGTTCTTTAACCTGCGCTTTATGAGTGTGATTACGAGTGAGAATGGGAGGTACTTAATCCAAAAGATTAATTTAATGTTAAAAGTTACTTTTCTTCCCTTTATTTCCCCCCCACCCCCCAGTACTGTAGGAAATTTCATGTTATGATGGCTGTGCAACATTGATGCATACCAAAGTGCTCTACTATAAAGCCTGCTTTTATCCTGTACATAAGAATGACTTCTAACACCCCAAGTCTGTGTGGTCTTCATTTATTATGGTTGCATTGCCTGGATATCTAGCTAGGGCAGAGCTGATATACAAACACATTTTCCCAACATTTGGTAACCTTGATGACAGAGGTGTCTGAGAGAATTTTTTCTGTGGGTTTCAAAGTTTTAGTAAAAAATCTGGAAACGCTATCTCCAAAATATAACGCTCTAGTCTTAAATGTCACAAACATAAATAGTTTCAGTGATTTAAAAGGAAAAAAAATACCCTTGGAGAAGTGAATTTATGAATAAATGCACCTGAAGTTCTGCTAATCCAAAGAAGTGATTATGATGGTATATAAAACTCTACAGATCTGTAGTACTTGTCAGAGCAGATCACCCACTAACACATTAATAAAAAAAAAGTCAAACACACAGTTCTGTATTGACATTGGACAAGTGTAGCTGAAACCCTAGCATGGTACCAAAGGGAAGGGAAAATAGAACCTTTATTCCTGTCCTGTCTCTTAAAGAAATTTTTGTTTAAAAAGAAAAGCAAAACAAAAACACCTCAGCTGTTTTTTCTTTACAAGCAGAGTACAAGGTCCTCATTTATTTGCTGAGTCTGGTACTCTTTCAGAAAAAAATGGGACCCTAAACCCTTAAACAATGTGAGAAAATAAATTCGTATCTTGTGACCTGTGAAAATAACAAGCACTTGGACCTCTGTGGGCCCAGAAGAGCTTACTAAAGTTGTCGCCAATGATTTCCATGTGTTTTGGAATTTTACATATAGCTACATTAGCTCACTAAGGCCTGATTTGGCTAGGAAGCTCTTCTATTTTCAGCAGGTTGAGCTTATACAAACATTTCTTGCCAAAAGCAACAAAACATGAGTCAATATCACATGTGGGGATGGAAAGACATGGAAAAATCATGCAGCTTACTGAAAAACTGAGTTAGCCAATCCTGCTCCAGCTTGTAATCCTCTCAGTTTTACTTATTCCTCACCTTGCTTTGTGAGGTCTTCTACTGCTTTGAGGAGGGTGTTACGGATGAATTGTGGAGTTAGGCTTTTTCTGGTATTTTTCCTCAGTGTTGAATTTTATATTGTGTGGTCCTTATTGTAACTGAAAATATAAATCTGTCTAAGTTAAAAAATGTGTTGACTCAAGTCAAATTTACCTTTATGCATATTTCTTTTTTTATTCTTGCTGTTTCCTTTGCATATACATATCTGAAAGTCCTTGCTGAAGACAGTAATTTATATTAGGCAGTACTCTTTCTTCTTAAGCTCTTATCTATTAATAAAAAAAAAAATAATCACATAAATGTAGAGTTTTAAGGCCTGATTTCTGTGAAATGCATTTTACTTTGAGATCATGTATCAATTCATACTATTTGACATTGGTAGACACCAATTTATCCGTATCTCTTGAAGTATGTATTATTTCAAAATCTTCTGCACTCTCTCTTAAAGACAGTATTTATTAGACTGCTGCCATTGTTCTTAAATATAGGAGTGTAGTATTTTCTCTATATATACACGTGTGATATGGAGTGACATTTAGAATAAGTCTAAGACAATTACATTTTTATCTGCATTTTATTTAAAAGGAGTTCAGTCTTTAGGTGCATATAGGACTGAAGCTGAGAGGTGCCAATGGTGAAATAAGCTGATTAGTTCTGTTGATATTTCAACCACTTTGAAAAGATTACATATGCATATGCGTAGCACTTCTGAAAAGCATATTTTTCTGCCCACTTCTGAAAAAGTTAGCACTTAAGCCAGAAGTATTCCAACTATGAGCCACTTTCTAATTCTGTCCTCTGAGACAAAATTAAAAGAAAGCAGTGATGGCCATGCCTCAATAACATGTAAAATCTATTAATATCTGAGATGTAAGCCACATGCCAAGTGTAACTAAAAGATTTCTGTTGATGTGGAAAGAAGTCACAAATCTACTAGAGAGGAAGGCAGAATGTTCTCTTTGTAAGCAGGCAACAAGAATTAGTCTCCATTTCTGTTGTAGTTTTCTATGGATCACTGAACTTACAGTTTCAGGTGTTAAACAGTTTCATCTTGCATTTGAAAAAACCTTGTATAGACAAACCAAAAAGCTCTGAAAAATTGGAGACATGCAAATAGTCAGCTATAAATGTAAAAATAAGGAACTTTTCAGAGCAGTGAAGTCATATCTACAAGTACACAGTGTAACATTACCATTAGAGGAAAAGATGAGAAAACAGTGGTGACCAGCATAGAAATCTGAACTACTGGAAATTTTGGTTTATTTCCCCTTTGAGCTTCCTTGTTTAGCAAAAAATCCTGCAAAAATTAAGGCTTAGTTTAAAAGACTTGCCCATGGGCAAAACTGAATATTATCAAAATTCTTTAGGTCATTATTAAATTATTAGAGATAAAACACCTAACTTTGCTTTGTGCCAAGATTGCTTAAAAACTTGCTGAACCTAGATTTTAATAAGTGCTATAGCAGGAGGAAG